CCAAGGGATCTATTTCATGAATATATAATCTCAAAATTACTTTCCTTTCTCCTCCATTGTGCGTTCATTTAATTTTATCTATATGGCTACTTCTTAGGAATCAAAAGAAATCCAGGAAAATTTTCAGGTATAGTAATTTTTTTCTTTCAGATAACACTATACTGCCTCACAGGTAGTGCGAGTACCTTATAACAGAGTATTCTCAGTTCTTCCCCTCCATGACTTATAACCTTGCTGTCATTCATTTTACTTTTCTATAAGCCATAATCACCAAATACATTGTTGCTATTATTTTGAACAAACTGTTATCTGTTAGATCAATTAGGAATAAGAAAAATAAAAAATTTTATTTTACTTTCATTTATTCCTTTTCTAACACTTTCTTTAGGTACATCCAAATTTCTGACGTATATAATTTTCCTTCTCTCTGAATAATTCCTTTTAACATTTCTTGCAAGGCAGATCTACTCATGAAAAATTCAGTTTTTGTTTGAGAAATTCTTTATTTATCTTTCACTTTTGAAGGATAATTACACTGGATATAAAGTTATAGATTGATGTATTTTTTTCTTTCAACACTCTGAATATTATAGTCCACCCTCTTGTTGCTTGCATGATTTCTAAGAGAAGTCTGATATAATTCTTATCCTTTTCCCTCTGTAGTTAAAGTTCTGCCCACCGCCCCCCGCCACCCCATCTCCCCGAATCCTCCCATGCCAGCTTTTTTCCATATTTTCTCTTTGTCTGTGGTTTTGTGTAGTTTTAATATGATATGTCTAGGTGGAGCTTTTGGTATTTGTCCTGTTTGGAATTCTCTGTACCACCTGGATCTGTGGTTTTGTGTCTGTCATTAACTTTGGAAAATTCTCAGCTGTTATTACTTCAAATAATTCCTCTGTTCCTTTCTCTTTCTTCTCATGGTAATTCCCGTTATGTGTATGTTAAACCTTTTGTAATTGTCCCATAATTCTCTGATATTCTGCTGCATTCTCTTATCTTTTCTTCCCTCTTTGCATTTCAGTTTTGGAAGTGTCTATTCACATATCTTGAAACTCTTTGATTCTTTCTTGGCATTGTCCAGTCTACTGATGAGCCCATCAAAGGCGTTCTTCATTTTTGTTAGTGTTTTTGATCTAGCATTTTGTTTTGATTCTTTCCTAGAGTTCCCATCTCTCTGCTTACATTACCTGTCTTTTCTTGTATGTTGTCAACTTTTTCAGATAAATCCTTTAGCATATTAACCATAGTTGTTTTAAATTCCAAATCTGATGATTCTCAATTCTCTGCAATATCTGAGGCTGATTCTGATGCTTGATTGCTGTCTTCAGACTCTTTCTTTTTGCCTTTTAGTGGGCCTGATAATTTTTTGTTGAAAGGCAGACATGGTGTATTGGGTAAAATGAACTTTGGTAGATGGGTCTTTAGTATGAGGTTTCATGTTTATCTGGCTAGGAGTGAGGCTTTGTTTACTATTTGCCGTAGCTGTGGTGTCCAAGGCTAAAATTTCTTCTAGTGTCCTTGTTTTTATCTCCCCTCTTTCCTTTGAGTTTTCCTAGAGACCTTAAAGATAGTGTGAGTCTTGCAGTTCTTTTGGCTGTATTGCTTATTATTTTATAGGATCCCTGTTAATGTGGTAGTAATGTGGGTAGGGGTGGGAGGTGGGGAGGAAACAATCTATAGTCTATGATTGAGTCTCAGTCTTTAAGTGAGCCTGAGTTAAGCATTTTTCTTCCACTGTGTCATTTAGGATCCAGTAACATAGTTTCCCTTGCTGGCACGCTTTATTAAGGAGAAGAGAGTTCTGTAGTATTTCAAAATGGTTATCTTTCCCCTTCCTCTGTTAGAAGCAGGTGGAGATTTTTCTCAGGTTTTCACGGTGAGAACCTAGTGAGGCTTTTGGAGGTAAAACTCACATAATTTGGGGGGATCTTTCAGGCTGTGCCACCTCCTAATTTTTAATTCTTAAGCTAGTCCATACTGAGCCTTCAGAAATTAATCAATTACAGTTGAAAGTGTTCCTACCTCAGTACTGGCTTTAGCCAACACTCTGCACCTGGGCTTTCGCTCCCTATAAGCCCTAATTCTCTCCACTTTTCAGGATGGCAGTTTTCTCTATGACCTCAATTCTCTGAAGAATTTAAGAAGAGTTGTTGATTTTCAGTTTAGTCAACTTTGTGTGTGTTTATGTGAGGATGGGAGTGACTGTTTCCAAGCTCTTTATATTTCAGACCAGAAACCAGAAGGTTCTTATGTTTCTAATTAGAATGAAGATTTCACTTTAGAGCATGGTTAGTCTCTTAAGTCTTTTCTTTTTCATGTATGAACTTCACTGGAAACAATGTTTCCAGTGAATATTTGAACATAGATTACTTTTGGGCTGAGAGACTTTTTCCATCTCCTTTTTGAAATTATCTTTTCATTTGTTGATTTTTCTAAATGCGGACTGCAATCCCATGCAAGCTGGAAGGCAATAAATCCCTGATGCTGTCTTTCTAAGCCTCAATTGAGCAATTAGGAAAGGTTTTTAAAACTCTGAGCACTTATCTACCTCAAAAGATTAGAAACGATGAACAGTGAGGAGCACACAGTTTGTGTATCATTTCGAAGTACCTTCAATGTGCTAGGCACTATCCTCTGTGGGTGCAAAGAAGAGTAAAGGTAGGATACCCAAATCGTAGTGTTCTAAAGCTAGTCAGGTAACACACAGTTGCATGGTATCAAAGTCATTTCTTAGATGATGATATTCAGTCATGTCCAGAGAAGCTTAGAGGTGGGACACTATGTCTTACTTTGGAGGATTGGAATGAAGCAGAAAAATTTATGGAATTTACTGCAGCAGTGGACATATGATCTGCCTCTTGGAGGATGACTAGGGCTGAGGAGAACTTTCCAGGCAGAGAGAACTGCCTATAAGGTAGATGCTTTAGTCTGTGCTTGCTTTTCCTTCAAGTCAGGAATTGGAGAACGAGGCAAATGGGGCAAGTTAGGCAGTCTTTCTCCAACTCTACTCGATGTATGGTTTTATTGTTTGGTTTGATATATTGTGAAGTCCAAAACAGACAGTTGGCTTATATTGTTTTTCAAAGCCAAATGTGAGCAATTTTTGCATTGTTTTGTACTATCTTGTAGTGTAAAAATTGATAATTAACTCTAATATTCTATTTCGTGTTGATGTAAGGTAGGAACTGCCAAAATAGTTTAGTTTTTTAATTCTCAAATTATGTCTCAAGTTATTTTACATAGTGGTAGAATTCATTTGGGTTTGAGTTAAGTTTGGTTCTATTGTTGCTTTAAATGTAAATAGATTTTATGATTTCATAGATAAGTTTTCAGAAATGAAAGGCCATATATTTTAGCGAATTTCATTTAGTCAAACCATTTCTCTTGGAGTGGCATCCCATTATATAACTTTATACATATTTTTAGTCTTCATCCTACGTATTTTTATTTTACCCTTTCAGGTCTTCAAGGTCTGGCGAAGGTATAATGAACATAATCGTAACTACTACATAATTCAGCAATACTACTCCCATTACTAACTAGCAGATTATTGCCTAGTTGTAGTGTCGGAGCCTTTGAAATTACCATTACCAGCCAAGATAAAGCTGTTCTAGCATACGTCTAATATACTGTTGCTAAAATGAATGGATACGTATACATAGACGAAAGAATTTTGGACTCCTTAAAGAAAGCAGCATAGAGAATCTATTTTAGATTACAGAATACAGCAACAAAGCAATTGACATCTTAATTTTCTAAAAAAATCATCTTCTGATTTTGTTTCATAAAATTTAACTTTTAATTATGTACTGCTAAAATTATTCTCTGAGATATTGTGCACAGATGATTAAAGACATTTTTGGAGGGAGAAACACTCCTTAAAATGACCATTAAAGCCTATTAAATCATTGCCTTTACTCCAGACATCTCTTTCTTCCCTCTCTTTTCCTTCCTTAATAGAAGTAGTGTATTAGTTTTCTATTGCTGCTGTGACAAATTACCAAAGATTTAGTAGATTAAAGCAACACAAGTATCTTACAATCCTGTAGGTCGGAAGTCCAGTATGAGTGTCACTAGACTAAAATCAAGGTGCAGACAGGCTGTGTTCCTTTCTGGCACCTCTAGGGGGAGAATCTGTTTACCGCTTATTTAAGTTGTTGGCAGAATTCAATTCCTTGCAAGTGTAAGACTGAGGTCTTGTTTCTTACTGGCTGTAAACTGAGCGTTGTCCCACCTAGTAGAGGCACCACACTTCTTGGCTTATGGCCTCTTCCTCCGTCTTCAAACCCAGCAATGGCTACTCTAGAGCTTCTCACTCTGCATCTTTCTGAGACACTGTTTGTCTGTAGTTGTCCACTTTTAAGGGTTTATATGATTAGATTGGACCCACTCAGATAATCCAGGATAATCTCCCTATCTTGTGTTCTTAACTGTAATCATACCCACAAAGTCCTTTTTACCATGTGATGAGACATATTACAGGTTCCAGGAGTTAGGATGTGGACCTCTTTGGAGAGCCATGTTTCTCCCTACCACAAACAGTAATACTAACTGGTGCCTGACTTTACTGGATCAGTTTTCCTTTTCTGTTTAGAATACCTCTGACCTTTCCCTGTTTGATTCAGTGGATACCAAAGAGGTGTTAGGATTCAGAGTCGCGAGAGGACTGTATTAGATATAATACTTACAGCGAAACAGATTCTAGACACGCTGAAGAAAGAAAATCTGCTTTTGGAATATTGCTTTGAAAAACAAAGTCTTTGTATATTTTTGTGAGTTTACATTAACTGGCCCTAATCCTTAGTATTACTTAACGTCCATAGTTATTCACACAGTAGCAGGAAGTGAACCATTACAGATAATCAGCAGAGAGTCTCTTAATTTAGTATTAAAACATTCCAAGATAGAGAGGTACTCATTGAGAACAATAACATAATAGTTTATGTGAATTTTGATAATGGGCAACATTGCATCTTAATGTTTTATTTCTTTTTACCTAGATCATCACGAAGTATGTATATGATCTCCTGGAAAAAGACTGTAATTTGAAAAAAATCTTTATTCCAGTAAGTCCAATTTTAAAAAATGTTTATTTATACTTCCAAATGAAATAGTTTTCAATTCAGAAGAAAAATTTTTAACTTAACTGTGATAAGTTTAAATGTTAAGGTCCTAATGTGTTGATATAAGATAATATTAAGTGCCTGTCAGTATACCTCATCTCATTGTGCACAATAGTTCCTAAAAGGTAATACTCTTTTAGTCTAAATGAAAGAAATTCCGATTTCCAGTCTTTTTTGAAAATGATGATACAGTTAAAAGGACTACTTCTTCCTCTACCCTTTCTCATTTCATTGGTATGCTTTATTTTACTTATCTGAAGTAAACCAGTATACTTTTTATTGCGCTAGACATTCACCATCTCTTTAATCATTTCATGATATTTTAAAATTATATGTTTTATTTCTATGTTGTTTCCTCTGCACATTCCCAAATCCATTTCTGGTGCTTCCTGTTTTATAACACTGCTCCTTCCTTTTTTGGCAGAACACTTTTCTGAAATTTTGCACATTTTGCCATTTCAGAGTGAAAAAGTTTAAGATTTGTTCTCTGACTCAAATTCTCAAAAGGAATTTTTTAAATGTAAAAGAGGAAATATTAAGCTATCAAATGAAGAAGTAGTAATCTTATGGGTGAAATGACGGTGGGACTAGATTAGGTGATCTTTGCTGTCCCTGACAACTCTTTGATTTTATGATATATGAGTGTCTGAAAGACTTAATGAAAGTAATTATTTTAAGGCATAAAACTTTGCATATGAGTAATTTCATTTACATGAAATTTTGCGTGAGATTTTTAAATTTGGGGGGTAATGTTATTCTGCTATGAACTGGAGGTTTTGAGGATTTATTAATGCTATCACATCCTCGCAAATTAATTCCATAGTTCAATATTTTAAAAAAGAAATCTATTTTATATTTAATTTTCTATAGATAAGCTCAAGTGCTGGGTCACATTGTTAATCATTTATTCATTTATTTATTGATTCAACAAATATTTATTTAAGGGTCTTCTAGGTGCCAGGCACTGTTCCAAGTGCTTGTGATGTAATGGTGAATAAAATATCATTTTATGTAATTACTAGGCCAACCCCTGTTTATTTGGAAATTTTCCTTCCTTTAGAAATACATGAATACAGGGTGTAGTGGTTAAGTTCATGCACTCCGCTTTGGTGGCCCAGGGTTCACAGGTTTGGATCCTGGGCACGGACCTACACACTGCTCATCAAGCCATGCTGTGGCAGTGTCCCAAATGTGAAATAGAGGAAGATTGGCACAGATGATAGCTCAGGGCCAATCTTCTTCAAACAAAAAGAGGAAGATTGGCAACAGATATTGGCTCAGGGCCAATCTTCCTCACCCTCCCCCCCCAAAAAAAAAGAAAAGAAAAGAAATACATGAAAACCAATATTATAGTATCTTTTGGAGAGTTAATATGCCAGTCTTCTTTGGATTCAAACCTCTTTTTTAGTTTTTTGTTTTTTTGAGGAAGATTAGCCCTGAGCTAACTGCTGCCAATCCTTCTGTTTTTGCTGAGGAAGCCTGGCCCTGAGCTAACATCCTCTACTTTACATGTGGGACGCCTACCGCAGCGTGGCTTGACGAGCGGTGCCATGTCTGCACCTGGGATCCGAACCAGCGAACCCCAGGCCACCAAAGCAGTGGTGCGCACTTAACTGCTGCGCCACCAGGCCAGCCCCTTTAGTTTTACTTTAGGTCTACTGTTTTACTCTATTAAAACTATATATTGAATTTGATCTTCTGAAAAGGCAAGGTAGAATTTTTTCCTTTTGTCCAGTCTTCCTTTCTTGTTAATTTTAATTCTTTCAAAGTTTCCAAAGAATGATATTTAAAGACCCTTAGGTAAATTCATTGTTACAACACAATTACTAACTGAGTCCTTTAACTCTGTAATACTTTTAGTTTCATGGAAACTTTAAACTCAGCCCCCTGGATTACAAGAACAAATCACAAGATAATTGACTATATAGATCATGTTATATGATTGTTTCATTAATTGTCTTTATAGAAAACCTGAGATTAGGTTTCAGAGGACTATGTTTTCTAGATCTGATTATTTTCCTTTCATTTAAATTTAGACTATAAAGCTAATAAGCATAGAGAAACTTTCCATAATATAAGACCTATAATAAGTATCATGTCCATTTTTGATTAGAAAAGATTCCCTAATTTTATAAACTAAAAGAAACCAAAAAAATTTTTGTTTTAGGAAATAAATATCTCTCCTTAAATTATTATCACGTTTTACATAGCTGTGAAATTTTTCTTCTGTAACTAATAATTTTCTCCTGAGTTCTCTTAAATCCCAAAAGCTAGCAGTAAGAGTAGTTTTTCTCTGTTTTTTTGTACAGAGTTCTCTTTTCTAAAGGAATACCACCAAGTTCTTTTTTTCCCTGATGATGAACTAAGTTTTAGTTTTATAGTTGAACTATTTAATAAGGAAAGAAAAACTCATTTTCTGTTTTTGTTTTTTTAAATAATAGAACTTTATAGAAACCCATGATTTGATGGTAAAGCTCATGATCATGTCTCATGTTTACTCTCCACCTCACTTATATAGGTACAAAATATTCTCAATTGTAGTATCTCATACTTGTGTAGAATATTGAATACATGAATTAACTTAATAATTTAACTACAAATTTTCATTCAGTTTTTTCAATCATGTTTAAATGAACATCAAATTAGTGGGATTCATGAGTATCCCAAAATGAATTTTTTTTTTTAAGATTTTATTTTTTTTCCTTTTTCTCCCCAAAGCCCCCCAGTACATAGTTGTATATTCTTCGTTGTGGGTCCTTCTAGTTGTGGCATGTGGGACGCTGCCTCAGCGTGGTTTGATGTGCAGTGCCATGTCCGCGCCCAGGATTCGAACCAACGAAACACTGGGCTGCCTGCAGCAGAGCGCGTAAACTTAATCACTCGGCCACGGGGCCAGCCCCCAAAATGAATTTTTAACTGCTAAAAATTGTTTAGTGCAGTCTCACTGACCAATTGGTGTTTGAAGGTGATTGGTCAATAAAGTGAGGCATGGCACACTGGAATGACCTTTACATGTATTCTTTAATGAAAGCTGAGCTTAATGAATTACCATTGTTTCAAGATAAATGGCCTTGGAGCAGCCATTTCCAAACTTCATTAAGTTAATGAAGGAAAATTTATTATATAGATATTTACTATTTAAAATTAGCACTGACTTTTTAAAGTGTAACTTTTGTTACCAACTGCAAGAGTCAGAGTTCTGTGTTAAATTGAGATGAATATTAGCCAATGACCAGCTCTTACACCTCAATCATTAATACCATTACATTGTTCATTTTCATTGTTTTTTTCGCTTGAATATTCTGATGTTCTCATATTTTACAGTCAGCTTTTCTGGATGTTCAAGTAACAAGTTTTATTCAGTTTTTCATGGCTACCTTAATTTGCCCCTTAAAAATGCTTCAACGGCATTATAATATAAAAAACACATTTTGTCTTCTGAAAATAAGTACTCTTCGAATTTTAAAGTGATTACTGTGGAATTTAAAGTGCCAACATTCCATTGCTTAAAAAATTGACTCAGTTCCTTGGTAAAAGGGGACTTAGTTAAATAGAAGAAGGGAGCAGTGATCAGCACCTGCTGGAAAGTCTATAACTCCAGGTTTTTTCATTAAGATAAACAGATGTCCATTTCCATAGCTATTCCAGGATCCATTAAGGCCTCACTGACTTTAAGAGGCACTTTTAATTCTGTGTGTTTAGACATAGTCTTGGGTAAATGAATGACTGGAAACCTCTGTGGCCCCTTTTTTATTGTACACTGACAGCTTTGCTTTTTAATTTTTTCCTTTGTTCTTATCACCATTTTCTTTTTCTTTTTAAGCCACTTAGAGTGATTCCTCTGTTTTCATATGTTTGTAGGTAAAAGGGAATTTTTCTTCTAAGGTTTGGTTTTCTCCTGTCTCTCACCCACTTCTCTTCCTCTTTGACTTCAGTCATGCCTGCCGTCATCATCCTAATTTCCTTACTCCGGATATCGCATGCAAGTGAAGCTAATGTGATCGTGTTACACTTCTTACTTCTCTTCCTACATACTTAATTACTAATAATAAGATACAGTTCTGTCATTTTAATTGTTAGCACTGTGTAACTCTTATAAGATTCTTTATAATCATGCATTGGTTTAATCTTCAATATATGCTTTCTGAACCAGGCAAGTATTATAACCAGTTAAAACGATGCATTATTTAGTTAAATACTTTTAAAGGGATTTGCTGGTGATACTTGATAAGATTCCTTAGTCCAAAAGTTCGTTTATTGCTGTATTTACTAAGTGCCTACAATGTGCCAGCCTCTCTTTTAGGCATTGGGAATGTAGTTGGATACAAACAGAAAACTCCATGCCTCCTCAGGTTTACATTTTAGTGGAGGGAGCAGATTGCTAATAAATAGTTATACAAACAAATACATGAAATAAAGCATACAACGTGTTAGATTGTGGTATGTGCTGTGGAGGAGAATAAAACCGAGAAAAGGACTAGGGAACTCTTGGGGAGATGTTTAAATGGGGTGTTCAGGGAAGGCTTCACTGAGAAGAGGGTCTTTTTCTTAAGCCCTGTGGCCGTGCTCTTCTCGCTGAAATAAAAATAGCTAAGCATCTATTTACTGACACCAGTCTGATTGTTTTAGAAGTAGAGAAATTTTAATTTTTTTCTCTTCCTGGGAGTAGTGACTAGGAACATTTAGAATCCAGGGCATTTTTTGGTATCTAAAATTTTTTTGTCTATTTCTTATTTTGATAATCATATGAATATATATAGATAGTGTTGATGAAGTGAATAGCTATTGCATTACACTGCATGTGGACTCACCTTCTCTATTGAGGATGTGTATATTACCAGCCATCAAGACTTTAGTTTCTGGCTGTGACCTGGCTGCACAAAGCCTTGCATTTCCAGATACTAGCCACTGCTGGTGTGGAATACCGCTGAATGCGTGCAGGGCATATGTGATAAAAGGTGGGGAAGTTATCCCTTCCTAGAAATCTTTTGAGTCTTTCAAATCAAATCATACATCATCTAGTTTAAACCTAAATATTAAGTACATTGAAAATGAATAAAAATATTGACTTTTTATCCCATAAATAACTAATACATAAAATAAGGTTACTGGAATACACAGATAGTATTCCTTCATAAAATAATTGTTATATAAATTGTGTATTCACACTCTGAATGAAATTTCAAAGTCCGTTTACATAGAAAAGTTTTTTAAATTTTTTAAATCATTCCCTCTCCCATATTTTAGAAGTTTAATAGTATTCCTGCATAGCATATGATTTTCCAATAATTTTGTTCTCCAATTGGGTTTTTGTTTTCTATTATAGGGCAGTATACTTCTATTATAGAAATATAGACTTAATAGCTGTGTGACCTTGGGCAAGTCATTTAAACTCTCTAGGTCTCAATTTCTTCATCTATAAATGAGTATAATAACAGTACCACCTTAATGGGATTGTGATTGAGATAATATATTTAAAACGTTTAGCATAGTATCTAGACCACTGAAATACTCAAAAGTAGGTATTTTTATTTATAATGATAATACTAAATATACAATAATAATGTAGGGAGACATATGTTTCCAATATTCTTTTTTCATATTTTTATGTTTAAATTACTATCATGTCTTTTTTGCTCATCTACCTTGTATGTAATTGTTAATCTCTAGTGGATATTTTAATTTTATTTTAAAGTTTTTTTTACTTCTATTATTCTGTAATAGCCATTCTATAATTTGTAGTAACCATTAGTTGTTTTCTCATTTTATGTCTATGCCTGATCAGAAAACATTTATTTATTATTTAATTTTTTTTAATTACAGGTAGATGCCACTGAGAGTGAACCAAAGAGTTTTATCTTTATGAGTGAGGATGCTTTGACAAATCCACAGAAACTGATGGTTTTAATTCATGGTAGTGGTGTTGTCAGGGCAGGTCAGTGGGCTAGAAAGCTTATTATAAATGAAGATCTGGACAGTGGCACACAGATACCTTTTATTAAGAGAGCTATGGATGTAAGTGCAATTTCCTTTATATTTTTTTGGCATTTTGTCGCTCTGTTTTATTGTATGTTATAAATTATTTTATCATGTCTCTTCAAAAGTATATCCTAAACATAATCTTATCTTTAAATTGTTATTATTTGTCATGAAAGATTATTCTGCATTATTTTGCAGTTACAATTTAAAAAAATGGTATCGTACGTATACAAAGATTTAGATAATGTCTTTGAAGTGAATATTTTTTATTCTAAATTTTTTGTTTATTTTTACATAAAATATCACTTTGACTATCAAATACTTATCAGTATTGGAAATACTTCTGAAAAAAGTATCTTGACTAATTTTGTAAATCTTTGCCTGCCTAATTTAGTGAATTTGGAAACTAAAAGAAATCTACTACCTTAAATTAATCTTTTTCTTTAAAAGAAGAGTTGGAATAAATCAGAGTTTTTTTGTTATTTCTTTAACAGAACTCTTTAGAGCCCACAAATAAAATGCCTTAAGCATAAGACATAGACATACAAAATGGTAAATTGCAATGTTTACTGAATTACTTCATTCTTATTTGAATTCAAACTTTTTAGAAATTGGTATTTTAAAATTGTGGTCAAGGTTTTCTGTCCTCTAATAGTGAAATTGTTTATTCTGACCTAGCATTGTTACATCTTAATATTTGGCTACTTTTGTTTTACTGTCTCATTCTTAAGTTCTGCAACAAATAGCCAAATTTTGCAAAGTGTGAGTTTCTCTCACATATGAGTAGAGGTTTTCTTTAGAAAAAAAGCGAAGTGGCATCTTGTATAAAAGGTTTAATATAAGAACATAAAGTTATTCAGTAATATGTGTGTGCATGTAAGCTTTATAAGAGCTATGTTACTACATTTTTGTAATTAAAATTGGAAAGGGATTCTTGATACACTGATAAATGCAAAGGTCAAAGATAATATGTTCCATACTCTGTTAATTCTGAAATATAATAATAAGGCCCAGCCCAGCTCCTAAAGAATATTTTTGGTAATAGATTATGAGGGCCTTAAAATGCTACAAGGAGACTTTCTTAAGTTAATTGTGTATTTTTTCAGTCTTCCTGGATATACAAAGAACACAGACATTGCTTTTGATTGGTTGCAAGCTTCAGTAGTGCATTTTTAGTAGAATTTAAGTAACTAAAATAATTGAAGTTTAGATTGAAGTAACACAAAATATTAAACTGTTTCATGTTTCGAGTTACGAATGGTGAAATCAACTCTTTCTCTGACACATTGGTTTGTGATTAGAACAGATCTTGTCGATGTATTTTAAGAACATTATATGTGGAATGTGATCACAATTCATCGAATATTTGAAAATATAATTGAGTAAAGAAGATCAGGTATTTGTAATAGTATTTGGTGAAATATTTTATGTAATTATGTTGTCCCTTCTACTAGATCAACTAAGCCTTTCCCATTCTGGAATATATTTTGTCATAGAAGTTTTTTGAGGAGGAAGAGTATATGAGACGCCATGCCAGACATCTTTGAACAAACTGTCTGTTGACATCCCAAACAAAAGGGAGGAAGTTTGTCAGTAACGTTAGAGTAGTGAGGAGTTTTGTTCTTATAAGTAGGAATAGTGTTTTGGGGATAAGAGCATTTCATTGCCTTAACTTTTTTCTGCTTTTCTCTGTCATAGCATCTCATGATTCCTTGAAAAACAGCAGATGATTTCTAAGTACTTTAGCGTATTTAGTATTTAGTATGTTGTGTACTTTGAAAATTTTGTTTATATACTTTATTCTCTTTATTTTATAAAAACTGAATATGAACTTTATTGTGGTAACTTTCTACCTGGTGAACATTTAAAGATGGATCTCTCTTTTTAGTCCAGATAAAGTGATTTTATTACTTTGGCTTTACCTTTTCCTAGTGTTTTTCTGGCAGTTCTTCAAGGGCAGCTCTGCGTTTGTGCATGTATGTTGAGAGGGACAGCTAGGAAAAAGGCTGCTATTTTAGGAAGCAGGCAGAGGAAGACTAATAGGGAGAAAGAAGCTATCTCATCCTTACTTTTTTTTTTTTTTAAAGATTTTATTTTTCCTTCTTATCCCCAAAGCCCCCTGGTACATAGTTGTATATTTTTAGTTGTGGCATGTGAGACGCCACCTCAGCATGGCCTGATGAGTGGTGCCAGGTCGGCACCCAGGATCTGAACCAGTGAAACCCTGGGCCGCCGAAGTGGAGTCCTCGGCCTTAACCCCTCGGCCATGGGGCCGGCCCCCTCATCCTTACTTTTTACTCAGATTAGCTCTACTTGTTTTTACTTTTTTGAATTTTTTTCTAAAATTGTATTTAAAGAAAGGTTTCCATAGTTTATAAAAAGGCTGGGAGTCACTACTCTCTTGTTCATGGTCTGTCAGTTTTCATATCGCAACTGAAGTAAATTCTACTATTTTTCAGGCCAGACAATACCATTTCTATTCAGGGTTGTTAATAATATTTCTGCGATATTCCTTGCAGATTTTTAGTATAAGATTAAATGCCCTAAAATTGGATTCTCATCACTGAAAAGTTAAAACTTTTCTCCAGCACTACAACCCTCCCTCTAACAGGACTGTTTTGTTAAAAAATATTATGTTTAAATCTGTAGAGCCACTTTGGTTGAACCTGGGGTGAGGATTAGAACCACTGCCACAACAGCCCCTGAGATTTCTTCCCTGAACCCCGGAGCTCCATAGATCACTGTTTGAAAACTACAGATATTCCACTCCTTGCATTTTAGATACTTTAGAACTTGGTTATCAAAAATGTATTAAGATTTCATACTGGAGAAATAGTACATATCAGATAAATCCCACAGTACTTCTGAGGTTGCCATAGCTAATATTTTTAGTGTGTAACAATCTTCATTGCATAATATTTGGAGTAAGAAATAGTATATCATATAGCCAAGTACTAATTATTCAGTGTCTGATTGTGCAGTTTGAGAGTTACTCATACTTGTGTCTTCTTTGATTTTTTTCTCATATGCATCTTTTTAGGTATTTCGGTTGGTTTCTATGAAAGAGGCAAGGAAAGTAGGTGACACTTAAGTCATTTAATTACTAATTGCAGGGGTGGAACAAGGGTGCAAAATTTTTTTTTTTGAGAAAGATTAGCCCTGAGCTAACTACTGCCAATCCTCCTCTTTTTGCTGAAGAAGACTGGCCCTGAGCTAACATCCATGCCCACCTTCCTCTACTTTATACGTAGGACGCCTACCACAGCATGGCTTTTGCCAAGGGGTGCCATGTCTGCACCTGGGATCTGAACTGGCGAACTCCGGGCCGCTGAGAATCGGAATGTGTGACCTTAACCGCTGCGCCACTGGGTCTGCCCCAGGGTGCAAAATTTAAGGAGTCAATCACTCTCAGGGTTGTGCAGTGCTTATAGGACCCTGAGAGTGAGTGCTTCCTTAAATTTTGCACCCTAGGCACCTCACTGGTCTCTCTGCTTTGACTGTTTGAGATGTACTGTCAAAAAGTTTTATGGGAGCCGGCTGCCTGGCCAAGTGGTTAAGTTCGCACGCTATGCTTCAGCGGCCCGGGGTTTCACTGGTTCGGGTCCCAGGCGCGGGCATGGCACCGCTCATCAGGCCATGCTGAGGCAGCGTCCCACATAATTCAGCCAGAGGCACTCACAACTAGAATATACAACTGTGTACTGGGGGGCTTCAGGGAGAAGAAGAAGAAGAAGAAGAAAAAGATTGGCAACAGATGTTAGCTCAAGTGCCAATCTTTAAAAAAAAAAGAAGTTTTATGGAAAGCAGTTTGGGAGCCACTGGTCTATAGTGTCAAGTGTTACCATGCATCAGAATCACCTGTGAGCTTATTGAAACGCAATCGCCCTGTCCCAATCCCAGATTTTGATTCAGAAGGTCTGGTTGGGGCCTGAGAATTCACATTTCTGAGAATATCTCAGGCGATGCTTATGCTGTTAATCTGGGCACCACACTAGAATGACTGGGTAGGTAATAGTCTGTGGATTGGATGAGGATTTATTTATACTTTTCAGGCTCTAGGTATAACGGGTAAGGTAGAACTTGATGGCAATTATATTATTATGACAGATAATAATAAGTTCTAGAAAATGTTTTATAATTAAATCAGTGGAGAAGTAAAAGTTTAAATACTTTAAAAAATGCTACTTAAGTGATTCATATCCAACATGACTTAAAATTTAATTTTAATAATTTCATGAGAATTCTGATTACTTCACTAAGCCTACATTTTTCCTAATTTCTCATATCTGGATTATTCAGAAGAATTTACTATTTCCATAATTCCTTACTTTGAGTATAATTTTCATACTGTTAGGTCTAAGTTTTAAAAATTAATACTATTTTTATTAATGTAATTTATACAGTTTGGGTTCTATAACATAGTGGACTGAGCTAATTAATATGTACTTCTCTCTCCTACTAAATACACAGAAAAATAATGGATAAAATGGATAGCAACAACAAAAATATGAAATACCTAGTTATGTTCAAAAGACGGAAAAGACATCTTTAAATGCTTGACTATAAGAAAGAACTTAAAGCCACAGTGGTAAGTCCCTGGAGGGTGTGGCAACCCAAAGGGGACAGCTGCTGAGATATAAGCTCCAGCTCACATAGGCTCTACATCACAGCTTTGGGCCTGAGAGTCAGGAGCTAAAACCAAGACCTCTGGATGTGACTAGGGCCCTGGAAGTTTCTGCCTTTTCGATTTTTAGGGGGAAAAAATCAGCTTATGGCCCAGAGGTGAAAAGAGGAAATTTCTTTGCCAGATGTGCCAGGTGGGGTAAATAAACAACCTCCTTTGGGAAACAGAAGCCACAGATCCTAACCCAAAAGTGGATCTGGATTTGCAGTTTGAATTTAGACAGCTTACTTAGTGTGGGAATCTCAAGCAATGTAAATTCATGTAAAAATTGATTCCACACTGATGAAACTCCTGGAGCATCAGCTAGAAGCATGCATAAAACTGCCAATAGCAAACTTTACAACCCAGGGTG